TTTTTTTTTTAATTATTTATTAATGACTTTGTTATAATTGTTGGACTTTATAATAAATACAATATAAATACAATAATACCAATGGAAAAGCTTATTTAAATACATTTAGCCATGACCTTTCTTGGGTGTATTTAAATGGTGTTATTGTGCAATTAAATTTAGATTTATTTGTAATGTGTTGATGTCAACATTATGTTTTTGTAAATTGAATATATTTATTTCTGCGTGTTCTTTTTATTGAATATGTATATATGGTTTTGTGTATTTTATTAAATTTTAAAATCAAAATTTTTTAAAGCTTTCTATATAATTTTTTTATATTATTGTAATCATATGTAGCTGTAATAAATAGTAAAAAACTAAGTATTAGAATGATAATTAAACAAATTTAAGTTGACGCTTAGTATCTGTTCATATACTTTCTCAACCTACTGAAACTCAAAGAACCAATAACGCCTCCACTAAGGCTCGAACTCATAATCTTCCAAATGGAAGTCCAACCCGAATACCATTAGACCACATAGTCCTGATATCACTTAGTTTATTATATCCATAAATGTTATGATTAGAATATTGTGACCATATATATATTAATATCTACTAATTTTGTGAAATTTATATTCTGGAAGTCTGATGTCAAAATTTTAAAGATTAAATTAAAATTATATACAAGATATATCATATATAATTTTAACATTTATGGGTCATAAATTTAATAGAGTCAAATTTAAATTAATAATTATGCAAAGTAATTTATTGTTTAAATTTGTTTCTATTGAGCTTTAAGTTTGTCAATATATATTGTTCATTTATATACTTATATATATATATACTTTTATATATATATATATATATATATATATATATATATATATATATATATATATTTATTTATTTATTTATTTCTTTATTTATTTATTTATATGTGTGCGTGAGTGTGTGTCTGTGTGTGAGGGACTCTAAAATAAATGAATTTAATAATTTAGTTCAATTAGTTTAAAATATTTATTCCTTTAATGGGTCTAATCAATATTATATTATTAGGTGTTTATTTGTTTTTTTTTTTGTTCATTATTCTGTTGATTTGTATATCTTAATTATTTATTAATTGATTTATTATATTGTAGAGTTGTATATTGACCTTGGAGATCCAGTTTTTAAGTGTACTCATTGTAGTGCATATTTTTGGTCGGAAGAGAGATTGAAGAAGGTAAAAGTGAATGGTGGCCCGAGATATTCAGTTTGTTGCTCTAATGGAAAAATTAAGTTGCCGATATTGAACGTTCCACCAAAAATAATTCTTGACTTATTTTTCAAACCGTGTGCACGAAGCAAGCATTTTTTGCAGCATATAAGATCGTATAATAACATGTTCAGCTTCACATCTATGGGAGGTCGTATTGACAAAGAAGTGAATACAGGGAGGGCGCCTCCAATTTTTAGGTTGAATGGACAAAATTTTCATTTGTTGGGTAGTTTGTTACCTATTGAAGGAAATCGACCTAAATTTGCACAATTATACATTCATGACCCTGAAAATGAGATGTGTAATCGATTGAACTCTGTCAGGTATATTATGTCTTATTAATGAATATTATTTCTTTTAATTATACAAACATAATTATAAAGTGATATCAATATCTTTTGAATTTTAGGGGGAATAATGATCTCAACAAACTAGATGAAGATATCGTTGCTGACCTTCAATTAACATTGGATAAAAATAATGTTCTGGTAAAATCATTCCGGATGGCTCGCGATGCAATAGTTACCAATCCGACTGTGGAAGTTAGGATGAAATTGATAGGGAAGCGTAGCCAAGATGCCAAAACATATAATTTGCCAACAGTGTCAGAGGTTGCATCTATAATTGTTGGTGATCTGGATCCCACGTTGGGTCAGCGAGATATATTGATAGAAACAAGATCGGGTGTGCTAAAAAGAATTAGTGAGCTTAATCCAGCATATCTCCCTCTTTAGTATCCAATTCTGTTTCCATATGGTGAAGATGGTTATAGAGAATATATTCCTTTTAATGTTGAACAAAATATTCATACAGGAAGAAGGCATAGTATTTCTCTTCGTGAATACCTATCATTTCGTATTCATGAACGATGTGGTGAGATTTCAACATTTCTATTTGCGAAAAGATTGTTCCAACAATTTTTAGTCGATGGGTATACGATGGTGGAATCTGGGAGATTGTTGTATGTCTGTACGCATCAACAGAGTCTGCGTTGTGGATCTTATAGAGGTTTGTTTGACGCATTGACTCGTGGGGAAATTGAACCTGGAACTCAAGGTCGACGAATTGTTTTACCTTCTAGCTTTACGGGTGGTGCACGGTATATGGTTCAAAATTATCAAGATGTAATGGCAATTTGTGCTTGGATTGGTTATCCAAATTTATTCATTACATTTACATGTAATCCAAAATGGCCAGAAATACAGCGCTTTTTAGAGCAAAGGCTATTAAAACCAAAAGACCGGCCCGATATTTTGTGCCGCGTTTTTAAAATGAATTTGGATTGCTAAATAAGAGAGCTTCGTTCAGGAATTGTTTTCGGTAAAATTTTGGCAGGTCTGTAATCTACAATCCGCTAGCGATGTATTAACTTTTCTATTCACTTTCTTATCTTTCCGCTTTTGTTTGCAGTGATTTATACTATTGAATTTCAGAAGCGCGGGTTACCACATGCACACATACTATTGTTCCTTGATCGTGTTGATGCTAACGCGCTCAGTGATGATATCGATTCCATTATTTCAGCCGAGATTCCAAGTATGGATGATGATTTAGAATATTACCAAGCTGTTGAGGAGTTTATGATACACGGTCCATGTGGTGTTGCCAACAAAAAATCTCCGTGCATGGTTAAAGACCGTTGTTCAAAACACTTCCCAAAGAAATTTATAGAATCTTCAGTTATTGATTCCAGTGGTTACCCTATTTACAGGCGTAAGGATGATGGCAGGACAATTCAGAAAAGTGGTGTTGAGCTGGATAATAGATTTGTTGTGCCCCACAATAGATATTTGTTGCTGAAGTATAGAGCACACATTAATGTTGAGTGGTGTAGTCAATCTCGGTCAATAAAATATTTGTTTAAATATGTCAACAAAGGCAATGACCGAGTTACTGCCCAGT